CAACAAACTAACCAAAATTTCTCCAAGAAGATCAATAGTGAAAATAGGAAAAGAACTTAAATCTGATATCTCTTTGTTCAGTGAAGAACACTAAACAAAATGATATCCCCCACTCCAGAAGAAACACAAAACAATGATCTGTAAACCAATCATAATATATCTGACCTTTATTGGCCCATTTGTATTTATCTGGTGCTGTGGTAAATGCTCTAGATATACAAGCACATTTAATCCTCAGGAGAAATTTATGATGTATGTATTATTATTCTCCCTCTGCAGAAGAGGAAATGTGGTAAGATAGCAATTGAAAAGTCTGCCTAAATCACACAGCTACTACCTGCCAGGGCAGGACTTAACCACAGCTCACTCTGACATCAAATCTAAGCTGTGTACCTTCCCACTGGAAAGAACTGTGTACTGCTCTGGGTGTTGTATAATAAGCAAAGCCAGGAAAAATGCAAAAATCCACAGTGAAATGATCGAGGGATGTTGTTCCACGATGACCTCACTATGAAAGCTAATATTCCCCCATTTATACTCAAGGTTTGGGATTCCACCATCCATCCAGTTGCCCCACAATGGAAAGGCAGATTTCAACCCTGTCATCTGCATTGTCATCCTCTTTTTTCCCACAAGTGGTTAATTATCAACCTCATCAATTAGAGTTCTTCATATCCTTACATATACTTTCTGCCACTATACTTCAAAATACCATTGTTTTCCCCCTGGTCTATGGCAAACATCTCCTAACTGGTCTCCTTGTACTTCATTGTATGCTTTCCAAACATGTTTCACAAAGCAGCCATAATGACTAATATTTGTAAAATGCAAGTGGGTGTTTGCTTAAAGTAAAGCATCCATGCTCATGGAATAAGATCTGCATTTTATATGATGCCCAACACCCTTGAGTACATAGATCCTTTATTCTCCATTAGAAACCCTTACTAGAGTGAAATATATACAGTGTCACACATATACAGTGTTTTCACATCAGCATCTCTGTCCATACCATTTCTTTCGCCAATGATACTCTACCTCTCCTGACATACTTTTCTGGTTTCAAGTCTTAGTTTACATACCCCTTCTTTCTGAGTATAGTTCTCTGATGATCAGGAACTGAGCAAGCTTCCCTTGCAAGGGCTATTCATCAGCATAGCATTGGCTGCACCATACTTTAACTATCAGTTCACCATCTGTGTCCTTCACTATCTGGGACTAAGGATGCTCCAGGTCTCATTACCTTGTCCCTGCTGTAGTGTGAAGCCTATTGCAGATACTAAATGGTATTTATTAGATGAAAGAGGATATAAAGAATGCAAGGAGAAAGTAAATAGGGAGGAATATAACGAGATGAAGGAGAAAGGAGAAGAGGATTAGAAAGGAGAGGGAAGGATAGAAAGGAAGAGAAAAAAGAAAGCAGAAGGACTTAAAAGAGAAAGGAAGAGAGGCACTATAAAATGGAACACGAATAGGAGGGATGGTGGAAAGAAGAAAGAATAAATGGAGCAATGGCAAAATAAATAATATACACACTCAACTCCTAACAGTAGTTTCTGGGGAAGCTCTGGATACTATTGGTCTCTTATTCATCTATGTGGGGTTGTAGATGTTAAAGAAATCAAAAATTAGTAAAGACCATAGAAACAATTGAGTTCCACTCTATTTAGAATTGGAGGGAAGTAAGCAGAAGATAAAGGACACAATTTCCTCCATAAAAGTCAGCTCATATGGGTTACAATGTGAACACATGCTTGGGAAATCACAAAGCAATTTCTCTTCGCCCACGTTGAGTCAGTGACAACAAGAGCACTGGGTGGCTTCAGGTCTGTGATTCTTGATTTAGGGCTCAACACAAAGCATTTCTTTTTGTCCTAAAAGTTTTATTTAATACAAAGAACTTTACTCTTCAAGGCAAGTATACTGTAGTAAGATCAAAGAATACTCATGTTCTTTCTCCAGTTTGTTTTGTGTTATTTATCTTAATCTGCTACGAAGCCCTGAGTTTTTTCCCTTAGTATATATTTTTGACACATTTTCCTCTCATCTGGAAGGGTCCTACTGTCATTTCTACCCCCAGAAATCCATTGTATTATTTAGAAGCTTTGTTCCAATATCTTTCTTTTCAGGAGACCTGCTTCAGTGTCCCTAACGGGAAATAAATTGTCTTACTCCCCCTTATCCCAGTGCATTTTTTTCTCAGAACTGATGGCTGTCTTCCATTATAAGACTATGTCTTTTTATTTTCTCATTCCACTCACATTTCTGAAAGTAGGACATATTCTTACTTTATCTTTGCTCCCCTAGTAAGATTATCACAACATATTTTATGACATATTTAAGTTGAATTGAACCATAAAATACATTTCCACCTCACATGTTTATGTCATCTTAAAATATTGTTAGAGCTATAAATCCATAACCTCTTCTACATTTTCCAATTTTCATGAATTTGCTTTTTTAAAAAACACTTTTGCTGTGCTTACTTTTGGCCAACGTTTGTTAAAAATGAGCTGATAACAGGGTCAAAACTGATATATAAGGGGAGAAAGCAATTTAATTGTGTCAGTGAGTCTCAGACCCTTCAACTTTATGGGTAAAAGGATGACTTTGTATCCTAGCTAACTGAAGGACCAATCACAAGGAGTGCTCAACATATACAGTGAATGTTTAAAGTTTTAAAAATGATCACAATAAAAGGCACATTGCCATTAACACCACTCAAAATACCTCTTGCTTTGAATTGTTGTTGTCGTCACTTTCTGTTGCAGTTGTGGAAGTCTTCATTCTTGTCTTTATGAATTGTGATTAAAAAAATATGGTCAATACTCACCTGAGTGTCATCTAACAGAAAGGCAGAAAAACATCACAGTGCATCCTCATCTACTTTATTCACTGTATATGGCTCCGTGAGACTGTGGCTCTTCTTCAAACTCAAAATAACCATGACAAGTAAATGTTTAAAATTGATTCAGGACATCAAGGCAGCCACAACAACACAACCAAAGACACACACACACAAAATAATTTCCAAAACTGCTTCAAAAAAGGAAGAGAAAAATGGGATATGTGTTGGAAGTGAGGGGGCGTAGTTTGAAGAGAATTAATGGCAGTGGTCTTTGGCTGCCAAACAACAATATATTGCTAAAGTTTAAACATTTTATGTTTATTTGTCTATTTTTTGATCTCTCCTCATATTATGAATAATTCCTTTCCCTTAAAAATATTAGCAAAGAAATTGCTGAAAGAGAAGAGGGCATCCCTTGATACAGGGTTCCTTTTTCATATGGTACTTACGTGGAGGATGCATTTCAATTATGGGAATCAAGAAAGAGCTAAGATTAACTCGTGTCCAAGGTTAGCAAAGATTAATTAAGGTGAATAACCTGGACTGATTATTCCCATTCATTTTAACTAGGTGTGTTCTTTACAAGGCATATGGCAAATTGTGTGAAAGAAAGCACTTTAAATGCCAGGGCTCCTGATCTCTCTCTCAACATGTGTTGACCGACCCTTCCTCAAACTCTATTTTTGACCAAGTGAAGTTAGAAATTCCATCGTCTTGGTCAGAAAGACTTTAAAATTGTTGCAGAAAATAATTTTATTGATGACTTTGGTTCAGACTTTAAATTTTTTAAATACAATTTTAACATGCTCCAGTCCATCGTCTTGTTCATTGAGGTCACCTACTCCTGGAAGACTGGAAAACACCAACCAAATGGCAGAAGAATTTTGTCTGCACTTTTCCCTGAGGTCTGTTTGAGAGGCATTTTTCTTGTCATTCACTGCTCATATGCGTAGCCAGATAAAGTACATCACTGGACTCAATTTAAAGCAGACCTTCTTTACAATAGTTCAATTCCTTCACAGTTGTTAGAAATATAATTTTATAACATTAAGAAGGTATTTTTAACTCCACTGGTTTTGGAATGTCAAGTAAAAGTCAGAAGAGACTTGAAAAGCAAGGAAAAATAAACAGCAAAAGTCATGAACAGCATAGTAGAAAGATTATTACTTTCCATTTTTAAGTTCAACTAGAGAGTCTAGTAAATAAAATTAGATGAAAAATATGTAAGTTTGTTTTTTAGTAACTTTTCCAAACTTCATAAACATGACATTATAGCATTTGTTAGAATAAATTGTTCCCTTCCAGATATACATAAAATTGTGTTGTTACAACTCTTTATATAGAGTTCTTGACATATTGTTTCTTTTTCTTACCTACATTTTCCTAAACTTTACTAATGAATTGTAGCTGATTGTTAAAAATTGATTTTTTTTGCTTAATTTAAACTTCCTCAGATTTCTGTGGCCACATGAAATACTTTTGTACTGCAAATACACTTTTTTTATCTAGTTCAATGAGAAAAATAAAATTCTCCACTGTGAACATACTCACTCATCCCTTGCATAGCAATTCCCAAGTGTAACTCATTTTTAATAGAAAATTTCTTAAATCTATGTCTGTCCCCTATACACTGGTATGAAGTGGAGTTTTCTTCTGAATGTATTCTTCTGTTGGAAGTTCATTAAAATGACACTGTTCTGTTGCATACTAATTGGATAGGTTTTATATGTCTTGAGATCAGTTACTCAGTGTCTTGGATTATGAGCACTCCTTTTGGAAAGTCTATCGCAGTAAGATTAAAAATTTATCTTAGAAAAAGTTGTTATTGGAATAGTGTTCAGTTTGGTATGTGTAATGACGGAAGAGGTGAATTAATGGATAATTATATAATAACCCTTGTGTAAACTTATTCTTAAAAAAGAAGGAATATTCAGTTACCTCATCTGAAAAGTGGAGTGTATGGTTAGTTATTGATTAGTGTGAGGATTAAATAAGCTGAGGGTGTAAAGATTCATGAGTAGTAGATTGGCCCATATTGGCTACCTTTCTATCATTTATCCTAGGAAGCATGCTAACTGAAAAATGCCTTATAGCAGTGGGGCTGAGAGAAAATTTAGACTGGGTCCAAAAAGGAGAGGTATTATTAATTTCTTACCTCCAGGGAGTCATCAGCATTCACCATCCAGCAGTCTGTCCAAGTGGCCAAAATCAAAAACCCAGTGGAGAAAAAGGCAAAGAAGCAGGCAGCATACGGCAGAAGGTCCCTTACGGTGGGAAGCAGCCTGTCCAGAAGGGACACACGGGCAGTCAACAGGCCTGGGCCCACACTGGCAGCTGTAATGCTATGGGTGCTTCTGGTACCTGGAGATGAGAAAGTACAGGTCTTTTATTTTTCCTCACACCCCACTGCATGCTCCTAAGTAGCAGTAAGAATAATAAACAGGCTATCACCCACAGAGGATCCTGGAAGTCATTATTCAAAACAATCAGTGTCCGATCAGAATCCTGGTCAGTGAAAGAACTGCATACAGTTTGGGTCGGGGAGAGAAAGAACCTGGTAACCTTTGCTGCCCAGACTGGGGAGTTGTGTGAGAGGATGGGCAGCAGAGGCATGGGCAGTGCCAAGGTGGAGGGAAGGAGGGAGTGCCCCACCTCAGCAAGAGCCTGTGAATGATCCTTGCTGTGCCCTCAGGGAAAGGGAGCTGTTCTCCTCCCCTTCAGAAGAAGGCTTCCCGGTTGGCTGGGTGCTAGCTTATTGTTAGGGCTATTTTAATATTTGCTGACCAACTTAGACGGACAGACCACAGGTGAAATTATGCTAAGCAGGTACTGGCTCAAGGGAGTTTGCATTCCAAAGTGTGGGGCAGAGCCGCTCCACCAAGGACTTCTAGCACCTGCTCAGGAGGCAGCAGGGAGGGTCAAGGACCTTAACTTTTTAGCATCAGAGACTGGGAATGAGAACGTGTTTAAAAAATAATTTTATTTTTGCTTTGTGCAGTAGTACACACGTGTAATCCCAGAAACAAGGAAGACTGCTGCAGGAGTATTGCTGGTTCCAGGCCAGGCTGGGGCAATTAGAGAGATTCTGTCTTAAAATAAAAAATATAAAGGACTGGGGGGATATAGCTCAGTTGTAGAAAGCCCCTGGGTCCCATTCTCTAGTACCAAAAATAATTAAATTTCTTTGTAATTAAAATTAAAAAGCACACACACACACACACACACACACACACACCACATGCAACAAACAAAACAACATAAAACAAAACCCCAACATTTTTCAACAATTCAGTCATTCTATAACAGATACAAAATTTAGAGTATTTTACAATGCTTCTTTTCTTAATACGGATATAAATGCTTTTCTTGGGTGTCTGTGTGCATATTTTCAGTGGGTTATTAATGCCTTATTTTACAATATATTTGTAAAACTTTTCTAAATGGTTTATAGATATGATATCATTTAATCTTCATAAGCATCAAAAGGAGATATTAATTTCCCATTTTACAGAAACTGCAGCCCAAAGGTACTCTGCCTATAAACTTCAGAAGGAGAGTTTACATCCAGTGTTGTTGGGATAAAAAGGTTCACTTATAAATTACTACAGTTTTCAGGAGAACTAAAAATAAAACTAATTATTCTGGCAATCTCACTGCTGAGTATATATTTAACAGAAATAAAATCAGTATGTACAAGAGACATCTAAGCACCCTTGTTTATTGCAGTGCGGTTCACAATAGGCAAGACATGGAAACAGCTATGTCCACCCGCTGATGTATGGATAAAGGAAACATGGTATCTATATACAATGGAATACGACTCAGTCAGAAACGTGATGAGATCCTATCATTTGCACAACATGAATAAAATTGAAGGACATAACATAATGTGAAATGTATCAGGCCCAGAAAAGACAAATGACCTCACTGCACACATTTTAGTAGAATCTATGAAAAGTTGATCGTGAAGAATTATAAGGTAGAATGGTGTTTAGCCAGGGCTGGGAAATGTAAGGGGTGTGGGGTAGGGAAGAGTTTAGGCAATGAGTACAAACTTACAGATTGTAGTACCAGTCTGGAATTCAATCACATAGGTGACTAGAATTAACAGTCATGTGTTGCTGCTTTGATGACTCATAGTGACTCTTTCCTTGTTCCCTAAAGTCTAAAATGCTAACAGGGGAGCAGACCAATTCCAAAACACAAGCCCATTACAGGAAAGTCCCAGGTTGAGCTGCTAGGTTACTCCCCAAGGGCCTTTCTCAGAGTACTCTTTTCACTAACTGTGCACCCTAGGGTGGTGGTTCTTAATCCTGAGTGCACACTGGAATTGCCAAGGTTTACAAATACAGACCGGAGAATTCCACATCCAGAGAACTGGATTCAGGAAACTGGGAGTGAAGGCCAAGAATTCATATTTTATACATATTAGACATAAACTTCTTTTTCTGAGACAGATGGCCAAGTTTTGAGATACTAGTTCAAAAAAAAGAAGTGAAAAAACAGCACAGTACTACAAATAAAGCTGTAAGAAAGGAGATATTAATATTGCATCTTGAACGCTGACTTTTCCCTAACGAGTATTGTTAATAAATATAAAGTTTCTCTCAAAGGTTTCTGGATGAAGAACTTGATCCTCAATGCTGAAATGTTGAGAGGCGGGGTCTAGAAAGAAAACTGGATCATGAAGGCACTGTCCTCATCAATCGATTAATTCATTGATGAGTTCACAGTTGAATGAGCTTATTATGGGTTGGGCCAGTTGGAGGAAGTAGTTCACTGGGAACATATCTTTGAAGAGTATATTCTTTCTCCAGCCCCTTCTCTGTTTTCTGGCTTCTGCCTCTGCTTTATGTCTTCCAGACACCAGCAATGGAGTAATTTTCTTCCACCATGTCCTTCTACCATGATGTTTCTGCCTTGGAACCAGCCAGACATAGACTGAGCCAAAATATATGTTTCTTCTTTCTTTCTTTTTTTTTTTTTTTTTTTTTGCTTAAATTCTTTTATTGGTACATTTTAGGTATACAGTATGTTTACATTTATCATTGGGTGCTTGTACCTGTACATGATGTACCTTGGTTCTTATTTTTTTCCCCATTACCTATGCACCCTTCACCGGCTCCACCTTCCCTATTTACATAGACTTCGTTTCCATTTATTTTTCTTTTCTCATAATTTTTCCTTTCCCTTCTTTCCTTTCCCCTTCCTATCCAACCACCCCTACCCCTTTGAACCTTTTCCTATTTCAAAGTATCAGTTATTAGTTATTAATCCTTTTAATCCTTATTTACATTCTCAGTTTCTCACACTAGAGAAACTATTCGGTATTTACACACGTGTGTCCTATTTATTTCACTTAAGAGTATAGCCTCTATGTGCATCCATTTAGGTATAAATGACTCTAGTTTCTCATTCTTTATGGCTGAGTAGTACGCCATTTCATAAAAAACCCACATCTTCTTTATCCAGTTTCCAGTTGATGGGCACTTGGGCTGTTTCCAAGTGTTAGCTATTACGAACTGTGCCCCTATAAACATAGGTGCACATATATCTCTGTGGTATGATTCTTTTAATTCTTTGGGGGAGAAAGCCAGCAGGGGAATAGCTGGGTCAAATGGGACCTCCAGCCCTAGTTCTTTGAGGTATCTCCATACTGATTTCCACAGTGGTTGCACCAGTCTACACTCCCACCAACAATGGAGAAGGATTCCTTTCTCTCCACACCCCCGCCAGCATTTGTTATTGGTTGATTTCTTGATAGCAGCCACTCTTTCTGGGGGGAGGTGGAATTGCAGTGTTGTTTTCATCTGCATCTCTCGAATGACCAGGGATGTTGAACATTTTTTCATATATTTATTTGGTGTTTTTACTTCTCTCTCTGAGAAATGTCTATTCATTTCAGATGCCCATTTTTGAATTGGGTCTTTGAATTTGGGGGGGTCTGATTTTTTTCAATTCTTTCTATATTCTAGATAGTAGTCCTTTTTCTGAGGTACAGCTGCTAAAAATTTTTTCCCACATTATAGGTTGTCTGTTAGCTCTGTCGGTGGTTTCTCTGGCAGTGCAGAAGCTTTTTAATAAGATGAAATCCCAGTTGTTAATTCTTTCTGCTAGTTCCTGTGCTATTGAGGTTTTGTTCATAAAGTCTTTTCCTATGCCAATATCTTCAAGAGGTCTAACTAACTTATCTTCCAGCAAGTTTAGTGTTTCTGTCTTAATATTTAAATCTTTAATCCACTTCAATCTTAGTTTAGTGCATGGTGATACATATGTCTTTTCTTGTAATTCATGTCAGGTATTTTGTCCCCGCAATGGAAAGATAACTAATATAAGTACCAATAGCAGGTCTTTAATCCAAATGTCAGAACCTAATAGATAGGAGTAAGGAAGGGAAAAACATTGAAGATTCCCATATACAAATGCATACATGGATACATGTATTTCAGGAAATCAGAGAGTTTGACATTAAAAAGGTTAGACTCTCCAGTATTTTGCTCCTGGTATTTACTCAGGATTGTGTTCTAGAACTACCACTGAACTCAAGGGCCAATTCCTGAATTTAAATTTATCATGCTTAGAGCAAAAGATAAAATGGTCATGCTTACATGTTAATTTCTGTAGTCAAGTCCTCTGAATGGAGAGTCATGCAGAATGACGTAGGAGCAAAGACTTTCTGTCTGGGACATGAGCGCAATTTTAAGGAAGAGAGAAATGAGCGGCGAGCTGTGAGGATGGAGGGTGTAGATGCAGAGTAAGTCCTGAATCTGTCGTGACAAGTTGTTCTCTCACTCTGCCCTGCTCTAGACTCGATTATCTAGCCTTATGAGCTCAATCGCAGTTCAGTTTCATTTCACCCAGCAGGCAATGATGGACAACCTGCTCTGACACTGGGGCTGTGCTAGATCCTGGGGACATGGAGACTGTAAAAGATGGGGGCCTGGTTTTGGTCTTTGAGAAGTTTACTCATCAGTGGGTGGACCAGACCTAGGCACTGAGAGGAAGTGAAGAGTTCCATTCAGGTAACTCTGACAGCAGCTTTAAGCACTAGAAAAACCCTCGGAAACAGTAAGTAGTCACATTAGAGGGAAAGATGCAGTTTTCCAGTTTATTGCAAGCACTAAATATAATTATCACTAAGTGCATGGCACAATAGGGTTTACAAAATATTTTCAAATCCATTATCTCATGCTCTACAAAGGCAGACATCTTTGTTTTGTTCAGCAGTCGATCCCATATGCTTAAAAATCTACCTGGCAATGGAAAACTCTCAACAGATATATATTTAGTTTAATCCTCAGAACCCCTGAATTTTACAGAAGATACAGCAATATTATATTCTAATTTTACATCCAAGTTCCCCAGAATACACACTAGACTGGCAGAATTGCCCTGATTATATTTGCAACTTC